GGGTCTCTTCCCGGTTCCCGAAACATTTCTTATAAATTGCCACCTAATTGGCGTGTATTGCTGTACGTGGTACGCCTCATTTCCTGTTGCAACAATTTGCATTAATGGGGCCTTTCCTCAGTTTCACTACCGAATCTCCCCCAACTCCCCAATCTATTACTGCAACTGCCTCTGAGTCTTATTCAATTGACAGCGCGATGAAATGGAAAGTTAAGATCCCTTTGGGGGTTGAATGTATGTCAAAAGTTGAGAAACATCCTTTGTTTTATGTGCCCTCCATGTGCATTCACACTTTCCAGCAGGATTCACTTAAGACCACCCAATCCTACTACCCAGTTTTCCGCACTGCATTTCCGCTTGCATGTTTTCCCCTGTTTTTGCCGCTTTTGGGGTCGCGCTACTTGGCCCGGTTTTTAGCCACGAAAAAAACTATATTCGAAGAACTTGCCACAAGCCGAGTACAATAAACCAAATGTGGGGCAAGGCGAGAATTTGGGCTTAGAAAACCGATATCAAAGGAGTGCCCATCAGGTCTATTGTTTTGGGTTAAGTATAGAAGAAAGGGTAAATTACTTTTTGGGTTTCGAGCACTTAGCTCTCCTCAATCAGCAATCTCTTAATTGCTTTTATTCTACAAATAGCGTAACCCTTTAATATTATGGTTTTTAAATCCATATAAATTAGAAAAAATTCCTCCTGATGTATTTGACTAATTGTTTGTTGTTTGATTTCGCAAACATCTGTCTGAATTTATAATAACATCTGGATCCACCAACTATCCAAACACACATTTGGCAAGCCCACAATACAATTTGCATAAATTGAATTGAAGTCGTTACATGCCAGCCAGGTAGCGACAGCTGTCGTCGATTTATGTAGGACTTATATACGACTAATCCTGCATGAATAAATTAAATGGGAAGCCTCAACTAAGACTGTCTGGCTTGGGATTGGTCTTGGGTTTGGCCTTTGGTTAAGACTTGTTGTCAGGCATACAAATAAGCCGTATCAAACTCCTGTGGGCTGGGGGCACTCTATGCAAATCTAGAAAACCAGTAACCAGTTGGTGTAGGACGACAAGGGGACGGGTTTTTTGAAGCAGGAACCGGGCACTCAACTCACATATTAAATTAAATGTTGATGACGACAAAGACAATTCAAACGAAGTCAAGGCCCGGGCCAAAGAACTGTGGCAAACAAAGAAACACCAACTTCTCGACTGCCCCGCAGCAATTGAGCAACCAACGAGCCACTTTGTCTGCCCCTGATACCCCGTCCACATCCCAGCCCCTGTCCACCCATGAAATCTTTACCCCTCCTCGAGCTACCTTCAGATAATATTGCAGTCTTGGGTGTCAAATGACTGACCACCGACGGACGTCTCAGTGCTCCAATCGCTGGGTTTATTCAGGGACAGCAAACAATTAGGGGAGTGGACACTGTCAATTAAACGATTGTTTAGCTTTACTAGTTATAAATTACCAAAATGTATAGAAAGTATGTAGATAACGAAATACCAAAGAAAATTAATTAAGACCACACAAATCGAATTTTACGGGAGCCTTCTATTGTTCTTAACATTTTCATTTGATAAGATACATATCTACAATAAGTGTGCACTAACTTATTGAATGCCAAATCGTTCCTTCATTCTCTAAAAGTCTTACAAATCGCAGTTAGATTACTTTACTTTTCTTTACAATCTATTTCATAAACAAACCTTTTAATGTCGTTTACTTGGAAGAAAAGGAGACAATTTTATTTTAGAAATAGGTCCGTCCAAATAAGCTTTTACTGTTTGAGACGGGTTTAGTGACCGATTGGCTGTCAGACCCTCTCACCACCCACTCCCCCCTCTTCCATTTCTAGTTTAAATTTGAATTTTATTCCGTTTCGTGAGGTGGCCAAGCGATTTGGTGGTTCGCTTAGTCATGTCACTCGGCTGACTAATCATTGGAGACGGCGTGTGCTTGTCGAGAAACCTAAAACCCCAGAAATACCCCCTTCTAATCCGACTTCTCTTACCGTAACCCCCAAAACTTCGATCAGCTGCAAATTTAATGAACTTTTGCTGCTGTTGACTTTGCTGATTAATTGGAAAATGCTATTTATTTTTATGTGGCTGGTCTAACGCCAGTGGATGCCTTTCATCAAAGAGAAAGAGTTCTATAAATGTTCACCGGCAAATTGGTTTTAATGAGCCGGAAACTTTTTCAGTCGAGCTTGGATTTTTGTGGGTTTTCAAACAGAAGGAGAAGCCACTTATTGCCCCTGGTTGGTTTTAAATAAACATTGAAATCCCATACTAAGACAACTTCTTCAGTCGGTGGCTAATGCATTATAGAAGAATGAACTCTTTCAGGCACGGCCGAGCAAACAAACTTCAACTTGCCCGGACCAACTGCGTCATAAAAGAGCCATCGGCAGCGCCATTCGTGCTTCCACCGAGACAACAAAGGATAGTGGACGAAGGAAAAAGGAGGCGGCGCTGGGAAACCCGCCAGTTGTGGATGGAGTCCAGACAGAACAACTTCATGCGACCCCATCCCCTGGGAAAAAGCCAGACGGCAGCCAGGAGTCTGTGTGCCGGCTCCTCGGCTGCTCGAAATAAAAAGAAACCGGCAAAAAATGTAAAATGGAGAAACAAAATATTTTCCCAATGTGCATGCATAGTTCAAAGTTAGTTGCTAGGAGAACTACACCACCAGCATCACCAACTCCACCACATTCTCCACTACTTACAAGAGTTGTGAAAATTCTCTGGTTGCCAAGCGAAAGTGATTGAATTCTTGGGGATTTTTGATATGCTTAAGTGTTGAAGTTTCCCAAATAAATAAAAGCAGAATCAAAAGTTTGCTAGGGAATGGGAAGATTTGCAATGTATTAAGAAAAGGATATGTTAAAAGTTTTGTAAATAAAAGATTGACGATGATGTGTGATACTATGAAAATGTGTTTTGCTCTAGAGAAGTGAATTCAAATCTAACTAAAGTTACATTTTATATAAAAAAATTCTTTATATAAAAGATTGATGATGATTTATTAGGCAAATAATGATATTTCCTCATACATATGTATGCGTATGCTTTAAGCAGCTTAAGCTGAAAATGTACTATATTATAAGATTAAAAAAATTATTTTGCAAGTACAAAACATATTTGTTGGGAAGCCCTTAACCTTGGGCATTAAGTCACCCTTAAGATGAGTCATTATTTTATGCGTTCTTCTTTCCGAATGGTTTCACCACCAATCCTGACAACTTAAATATAAATCCCAGATTTCCTGAAAATTATGTTCTATATTTTCCTACTCTATTATAACTAAAAATCTAATCATCGATAAATTGTTGCTTCAATTGCTGTTAAAATTTCTAAGGTCCAAATCGCAAATAGAAACGTAGATAAGTTATCTTAAAAACTAATTTGTTTATTAATATGGCTGTTATACTGAAAATGGTAAGCAAACTGATGCAATCTCTTTGGAAGTGTGTGTGCTAGGTAATCCCCGTACTCTGTTGGAAATCACCCCAAATAAAAGCTAGGCTTGGATAATCTTAGATGCGTTATCTAGATATTGTTTACCACGTGCATCCAGACTAGACCCTGGACTCTAAGTTCAGTTCCCCCAAAATATGTGACCGAGTTGTTCCCTTTAATTTACAGTTTATATCCGGCATGTTTTCCCCCGTTTTATTTTTGCCGCAGTTTGCGCAAGAAGTTGTGAAAAGGGCAGAACGAGTTGAAAGTTCCCATTGGCATGCCCAATCCCACCCATCCAATTCCTATTTCGCCTCCCGTTTTCCCCCTTTCTCCTATTCCCTGCCAGGCGCCATCACGTGTCGGGTTTTCTCCAAGGTATTGGGCTTCGTGGAGAATCGATTTTGTGGCCTGACGAGCATGTTATCCTTGGAGTGAGTGCTTTTGGCTTGTTTTAGGACATCAGCATGGCCCATAGAAATTGCCTGCTGCATGTCCAATGCTCAAAGTAAAAATATGCTATGTATACTGAGAGAAAAAGTGGAATTCTGTATTCATAGAATTTTATTGATTAATTTTTTTCCATCGAATAAGTTGATTTTAACTGGGCAAATATCTTTAAAATAAATAAATAAAAACAACTTGACCTTAAAAACGAACTTCAATAAATATTAGTTCTTCTACTTATGTCATTTCTAAATGAACAACTTTATACGTTTATACTTTTATATATAACATAACATAATGTGATTATAGGGGTCCTAAAACTTTAATATAAAAGAAAAATAGTTTAAAAATGTAGTTACATTTTTGGGGATGCAAATATAAAATATATAAACTAATTTTTCTTAGTGTTTGAGTAAGTATGAGTGCGAAAGAGAAAAAGGAAGCTTCCATCATATGCAACTGAAGTTGGCAGGCAAAAGGTAAAAAAAAAATGAATGACTGACATTATAAGTGGAAAAGTTTTAGCCTTATTTTTTTACTGCGTCAAAATCAACTTCCTGGCTTAATCACCGAAGTGCAATAAATTAGCAAATGCTCCCAATTTAATAATTATCGCTATTTTTCGCAGTCATTCATATTACTTAGTTTATAATTATATAGGTAACGAAGCGATTAAATACGCCAAACGAAAAACAACACCAGTTATTAGCACAGTTTCGAAATACGATAAAGCTTGAAAACCGGTTATTGCATTAACGAAAGCTGACTTTTTTGTAATGAATGTTGTTGTTGGAGCAGCTGAGATTTTGCAGCTGCCCGTGAAGTTGAAAACGAAAATAAAACAAACGACAGGTGAATCAACAAAGAGATACAACCACCCACCCCACCAACATTTTGATGGTGAAAAAAGGAGAATAAAGACGTAAGCCCAGTTGGATGGAAAAATCAAGGCAACACACACGGAAACAAAAGCACAAAACAAAAGGGGACAAAAACAAGCCGAAGGCGGCAAAACTTTTAGGGGCCACGAAAAACCAAAAAATCAATAGAACTTTGAAAATGATATGCGTTAACTTACAACAATTGTGTCTCTGTATCGGCTCCCCTGTATTTCCTGCTTTCCTTTTCTTTTCTGGGTTGTTTTCTTATCGCTGCTTTACATATGTTGGCGCCACTCGCAATGTAATGTACATAAGTGCGTGCGTTCCGTTGGTGGTGTGTATAAATATTTAACAATTCCGAGGGGGGTTGAGTCCAACACTTTGCCGTACTGAATGAAATTTAGGCTAAATATTATCTCTAATCGCGTTGCACAGGTCAGTATATGTACTGCACTTTGAGTTTGATTGGTTGCCAACTAGATTCACTACGAAATCGAATGGGTTTACTATCGTTTATTTCGTTCACTTACGCGCGGACCGAACGTCTTTGCTCCGCTGTTAAGCTCGAAATGAGAATTTTAAATTTACGTTCTCGTAACAGAAATGTTAAAGAGGGAGGTTTGCTTGCAACTGATGGAAATACCTTAACGCTTAGCCGCCGTGGAAAAAATACCGTGATCACACTAGACTGCAACAGTGACACTATCGTTCATTAAAATGTCTAGCGCCACAAGCAGATTATGTCAATTTAACCGAATAATAAATCGTAAATTTTTATTTCTCCAGTTAAAGTTGCTTTAATATATTTTTTGATGTAGTATTTAGCGGAAACGGATTTCTGTACAATACACAGTGTAAATACAATATTATAGCTTATGGTTCCTGAAGCCAAGTTGGCAGGCCACTCTAAGTATATTTTTTTGGTATATTTTGGCGAGCATAACGGCATGTTCGAGCGCCCGCAGTGCGGCCACATTGTCGAATTTATTCAGCATTTTTATTGGCGATATTCGTTTTACTGTGATTAAATATATTAAAAACGACAATCAATTGGTTTTTACTTTAAAAGCAATAGCTTAAATCAAGGAACAAGTAAGTTTGAGCACAATTTTTACAAGTTAAGCGCGGAGGCAGGCTTAAGCACACCAGCACACAAACGCAGCCAAAACAGCGACACGCGAATTTGCGAATTTCGTTTTGGCCCGTTTTGTGTTGTTGTTTCTCTTGATGCCATGTTTTTTGTGCTAAACATTAATTAATTTCTGTTTCGCTATAAATATGCGAAACGTGCGCTAACTAAGTGGCCAATTGCGCTTTTGTGCCGGTGTTGGTTTAGTATTGGTGTTGGTGTTCATGTGTGTGTGTTTGTTGGCGCGGGCGAATGGCGGGCAATCGCACACACTTGCATACTTTTTTTTGCAAAGCGTTTATGCGACATTCGTTTTGATCGTGTTTTTAATAGCTATTGCCTAAAGTGATTATCGGAATTGTTTATACGCACGACATATTTGCAAACACAATTTGTGCCTAAAGAAGTTTGTGGAAACTGCAGTTTTCTGATAATATCTTTTTATAGTTGCACTTAGCCATGTTTTTGAAGTTCAAATAGATGCAATTTTACAACTTTGAGGTATATTTTCGTTAAATCCCTGAAGATAGCAAGTTTCGGCTTTGGTAGACCGAAATCCACAAATATTATATGCATAGAAGTTGCACGGTGTTATTAAAGGAGTCGAAATAGATTTGTTGTACCCCACTATGTGGCATTATACATACCTCAGATATATTTTCACGAATTCTTTTCGCGATATATGCCTTCGCATGATCGCGTAAAAGAGCGAAACAGACACAACGCACACACAGGTGAATGAACCTTTTTTGCGATGTTTTGTAATCACAATTTGTTGCTGGGCCACCGAGTGAGTTGAGTGCGAATTTTGTAATTGTTTTTAGCGCGGGAAAACAAAATACACATCTGGTTTTCCCTAAGCGTTTTTCTTTCAGCATGTGTAGTTTCCTTAGCTTGGTTGTTGATCCTCGATTTCTCATTCTCAGTGCCTTTTATTTCTCCCGCAAAAGCTCGCGAAAGTGTCGCGTTTTCTCGCCAATTTTTTTGCGAGTTCATTTGCATGTTTGCTTAATTTGTTTCCACAGCAGCTCTGCAAATGTTAATGAACCTTCCCGGCTGACAAAAATTCGCAATACAATTTTTACAGAATTGAAAGCCAAATGAAATATCATAAATGTATGCCCATCGGTTATTTATAGACCACATTGGTATTTACACAAAAGAAATTTAAATTTTATCTGGATACCCACGGATGAAATTAAAATGTCAAAAAAGGAACGTCGATTTTGATCAGTATGCTTTATTTTTAAAAGGATAGTTTTTTGAACTGATAATAATTAATATATTTATTAATACTTACCAATAATAGCCCATATAAATATAAAAACACACCAAGTAAACTTTTTAAAAGAAATTATTTTCTTGTATTTAAATAAGTTGTCCTTGTTTTTGTTTGTTTTAAGGCAAAGCGTTCGCATAAAAATACAATTTTATACTTCTAGCATGCTGTTTGGTTTGTGGTGGCTTCTATACAAGTACAATACGTTTTGTAAACCATTTGTTCTAAAGCACTAGATGATCTCATTACATTATGCTTCGCGTACAATTGTACCCCTGGAGCTCTAGAAGTGCTCGTAAAGTTATACAGTTCATTATGCTGTTGTGACAAACCCTAAAATTCTACTAAACCAACTGGATGGAGGGCTATGAATCGGGGAAACTAAGCGTAAGCTGAGGCATTTCATGATTTCATCCTCTCCAAACAAGCTGTTCTATAAATGTAACAAGCAGTTATTACTTTTTTTTCTACCTGATTTTTCGTTCAGCTTTATCTCTCTATTTCTCCAGTTAGTTTGTCTAATTTTAAGCAACTGTCACGCCCTAAAATCTAGTGCTGGGCTGTATTAACGCTAGGCAAGCGAACTGTTACTAGAAAGCATTTAAAAGCCAAAGCCTTTTAAAGGAATTCCGATTCCCATTTCGCTCGTCTCGTGTAAATAAATGTCTCACATTTTACATGTTACATGCTCATGTTTCTAGGATTTGTGGAGTGTTAAGAGTCGTGTAGAATTAGAGTCAAATTGAATGTATACAAAAAGGTTTAATTGTAAATAGAGCGTGTAAATTGAATTTACAATTGGGTTAAGTTAAGATAAGTTAAGTACATCGTACAATAAGAATAAGTACAAGTTTAAGTTGTATAATTTGTGTGTGTATATATAAAGAACAAGGCAATTGAGTTTTTTAGTTTGGTACATTTCAAACATAGCTAACTAATATGAAGGTTTACATCAGGATAATGGGTGCACTTCCGAAGGCCTTAAACTTGTTACGCTTTTAATAATGCTTAGGGTTTAGTCGTATTTTGCTCAAAAATAAACAGTTTTTTCATATAAAATTATTTGAACCTTTTTTATATAATGTTCTGTGCTATAAATTCTTAAAACAACAAATTTGTACAGAACAGGTTCTTTTGAAATTAAATAACAGCCTTCCAAATTATAAAAGCTTTATAAAAACCTCAATTTTGATACCCTCGGAAGCTATCCCCAAATAAGTTGAGTAAGGGCGAAAAAACGGTTAGTTTGAAAGTGATGGCGGGACAGGGCATTGCCTATAGGATGTATTTCCCCTTGCCCCGTTGCTCCGCTTGCCGCGTCGACGAGACCGCCGCCAGGAGGAAACTGGAGCTGCCGCCACTACTGGTGCCGCCGTGGGAGTGGGTGCTCCCATAGCTGCCGTAGCTCTCGCAGCTGCCAGGACTTCCATAGCTGGCTCCGTAGACGCCGAGCGGCAAGGCGTTTAGCTAAATCATGAGCGCCGAGAACGGGTTATACCGCATGATCTTGGAGAGCAGGATCCACAGAACTGAGGTGATGGCGCACAGTACCACCCCGCCCCAACCCAGATCAAGGCTCCACGAGGTCAGGAAGATGCGTGCCCCCAGTAGCGGCTTAGCCATGATGGCCACACCTCCTGGTCGCGCCACAATCCCATCCACGGTTCCATCATAGTCGCTGTCCAGCATTGGACGTCCCTGCTGCCGCTTGAAATGGATGATCATCAGAGTGAATAGGGCAAAGAGAGCTGTATAGAAAGGCAAATTAGTTGACTGCTAATGCACCCAAAAAGGTTAAATATACTTACCCGCCAGTAAATACATCACCCCTGTGATGAGTATGGCGCTGATTTGGCGCTGGCAGACGCCGAAGGCTCCCACGAGGGCAGCACTGCCCAAAATAATGAGGCAGACCAATGAGCAGGATATGGAGAGATTTTGCATTCCTATGGAAAATAACATTTTAACATTTCATTCTGTAGGAAACCATCTACGTTATGGAGTCTTAAAATGCTTATTTCAGGTGCTATTTTACAGGGTGGTTGGGAATGAGGAGAGGATGGCAAGCGAAAGCTTAGTTGAGATGTTCATGATCAATACTGCCTAATTGAAAAGGTATAAAATCCTTTCCTAAAATTTGGAACTGGACCTGATCTACGAACAATGACAAAAATTCATCTTTTAAGCCCAGTTTAAAGTGGTGGCTACTCTGTAGGTTTTCCCCGTATAGGTACAATTTTAATCTTACTTTGTGTAGCCGCCCGTAAATTCATTGTGGCCCAGCTCAACGCTCCAATTTCCGCTCACAATCTGGGCAACTGTAAAACCAATTAGCCAATAGCACCACAGCAATTAAATCCAATGTGGGTGCATGTGTTCTGTTCCACAGGAACACCATTAAAAGTACAGCAAAATGCCAGAGTGGCAATTGCGATTTTTAGAATGCAGGCAGGAGAGAATGGGGAAGCCACACGGTGACCCATATTGGAAACTCCCAAACCCGATCCCTCTCCTTTAGTTTACTGCCATGAGCAAGCAACTCTCGCCACGACATGTTTCATCTTTGGGGACATGGAAACTGCATGGGGAGCAGAAGACCTTTATTGACAATATAGAAAACTGGAGGCAAGCTCGGTTAGCTGCTGTGGTAATTACTTTATATAGACGCTACAAGGACACTCCTTGTTCCTGTCCCAGCTTCTGGCTATTGTTGGTGTCTGGCTTTTGCTTTTGTTTTTTTATCTGATATGCTCCGGGGATTTGTGGGCGCCCACATCTTTGAGCTGCTGCAAATGGGATTTGCGGTAATGACTTGTGAAATGTGCGACAGCTTGGAGCTAAAATTTTAAGCCAAGTGAAATGAATCGAGGTGAATCAGGTTAGTGGGTGGAGCTCAAAGCTTGTGCTGGTGCGTATAAATAGAATTAAGAAGAATTTCTATAAAAAAATTAACATTCGTGGTCTTCTACATACATCGAAAGTGACGTCTAGGGCTCAACCTACGTGGGAGATTGGGTTGTGGAACAAGGGGTTGACAGTCAGGAATATAAACTTAAGATAAGTAGGGAAGTGAAGAACAAATAAATGAAAGCTTGAACTACTTGTGAGCACTACGAAATAAGCGCGGAACAAGAACTAAATTAAGAAGTCAGTAAATCTATCTCATATTCATGTTCTATTTGATATTCTCTCCCACAGATCCCTCTTTGATCACTAAAAATGTCTGCTGAAGCCGAAGCAATGGTCACAACTGCCGCCGCCGATGTGTCGTCACCCAGCAAGACAGTGGCCGTAGAGCCCGTGGCAGCTGATACAACACCGGACAATGTTCCGGCAGTGTCCACGGAGGGAACCGGCAAAGCCGAGCAGGAACGTGCCGAGAAAATACTCAAGGGCAAAGAGCTGTTCAGCCAGGGATCGCGAAACTTCTTAGTGAAGAGCTACGACGAGGCTGCCGACGAGCTAAGCCAAGTGTGCCAGCTTTACGAGGAGGTCTACGGGGAGCTGGCCGACGAGCTGGGACAGCCCCTGTTGCTGTGAGTATGACAAAACTTTAAGATTTTGATTAACAATACTCTTTATAAAAAGCTAACTGCAACCTTTACAATCCATAAATCCCGTATTAAAACTTTGATCTATTTTATTAACCCTAGCTATGCCAAGGCGCTTATTGCAATGGCCCTGGACGAGAACAAAGTTATTGACGTGCCCGATGAGGCCGCCGACGATGATGATGACGATGTAGACGACGACGAAGAAGAAAGCGCAGAGGATGGAGAGGCCAAGAAGGAAGAAGTTAAGGAGGACAAAAAAGAGGAAAAGAAAGCGACCAAGGAGGCCGCAAATGGTGCAAGCAGCACAAATGGCAAGGAGTTGGACGGCATCAAGGAGGCATCCGATGAGGCCGACTCCACCGGTGAAGCCGAGCAAGTTCAGGCCGATGAAAAGAACTCTAAGAAGGCACCCACCGGAGTTGATGAGGTCAGCAGTAGCAATGGCGGTGGAGCAGCTGCCGTCAACGATGACGAACGTCCGAGCACATCGAACGGTGAAGTCACAGCTAGTTGCTCGAACGGGGTGGGAGCCACCGGTGAGGAGGAGCCAGAGGAGGAGGAGGGAGTTAGCGGAAGTCTGCAGTTGGCCTGGGAGATCCTGGAGGCGGCTGCCCAGATCTTCACGCGTCAGGGCCTTAGTGGACTTCCATATTTGGCTGAAGTTCAGACGGAGCTGGCCAACATTGAGTTTGAGAACGGCATACTCGAGGCGGCACGTGAGGATTACGGTGAGTTATTAAGCAAATCTTACGTTTCACGTTATTTCTAATGGCCATCTTATCTTACAGAGAAAGCCTTAAAAATCCACGGCGAGCTGCCCACCAAGAACCGACGTGCTCTGGCCGAGTTGCACTATAAGATTGGACTAACTTATCTTATGCAGCAGCTGAACAAGGAAGGCGCTACTGCCCTGGGACACTCAAGCACTTTGATTGAGGAGGAAATTGCTGAGATCAAGGGCAAGGACGAGCTTAGCGAAAAGGACAAGAACAATATGCTGGATCTGGAGGAGACCAAACAGGAGATTGTGGCCAAGATACAGGAAATAGAAGAGATGCAGGCTCAGGTGGGATTTAAGCAACTAAGTTTTCGTAGATTGCAAAACTTATTCTAATTTACTTTTAGACCATTGCCGAAGTGCGAGCCGCCCTGGACAGCTACATCAAGCCAATGAGCAGCGGTGATGCAGCTGCTGCCTCCTCCTCGTCTTCGTCGTCCGCCAATGGAGCTGCCAGCTCTTCGTCGTCATCCTCCAAAAGCGCTGCGGCAGCCTCTTCTTCGGCCATCAGCAGCAGCTCGGCTAAGCCCACAGACATCACACATCTGATCAAGCGCAAGAAGCCCGAGGAGCCCAGCTCTGAGGCCGAAGCTCTGTGCTCCCCGGCCAAGCGGGCCGCCGTCTAGGGTGGACATTCCAGTTGCCCAATGGCACACCCATTCACAACCACGCCCACAACCACACCACCACACACATCAGCTACTTAAACCCACTCTCACACATTCAACTCCATTCAACTGTCCTATTCCTCAATCCTATTTATGCTATTTGTTTGCTGTTTTCTACCAAAATTCTCTGTAAGTCTGTAAGTTTACAATCACAATTAGTGCTAAGTGCGTACATAAAATAATGTTTTGTATTAAACGAAAAACGAAGAAGAAAGGCAACAAGTGTAAACAATAAATACGGGAGATTTCCCCAAGAAAGTTAGATCGGATGGTGGATCTGGAGTGGGATTCACAGTCGGGCTGCCCCAGGATACGTACTCAGATGCGGCTGCAGAGTGACCTGTGACTCACTGTGCTGCCAGTCGTTGCGCTGCTCCTCTCCGCGGGCGTTCTCCATGGAGCCGGCCAGATAGTTGACACACGGCGGAGCACCGCGCGGGAACTTGGGATTGCGCCGCAGCTCCTGCAGCTGCTGAATGGGCAGGTCGATGCACAGCGTCCAAATGCCGCCGTGCATGGGCACCAGGAACACGGAGTCGCGCCGGAAACGATGATCGGCTGCATTGAGTTGTTAACAACTGTGAGATTGAATAGGTACAAAGTTATTGGTAATGTCTCACCCCTCTTGTCCGGCTTGAGCATGGCCACCTGGTCGTCGAGTAGCCACTCCAGGTGCAGTCCTGACCGATTCGAGTAGCGATCGAGGCTATTGCGATCCCACGTAACATGCTCCCAGTGGTCGGTCATAATGGCGGCGCACAGCATGGCCGTGGCGCTGGTGGTCATCAGCAGGGTGACGAACAGGAAGAGCACCGGTGGCGGGCCCATGCAGCAACTGGAACAGCAGGCGCTGCCCGCTCCCCCGCCGCCCATTCCCATGCCCAGTCCCTCCATCTGCGAGCCCAGGGAGGTGGGTGAACCGCTACCGCTGCCCCGACGCTGGATTACCTTGGCGCAGCTGTTCTGGCGCAACAGGATGCTGTTGCTCCGCCTCAAACTTTCGACGGCCGCCGCCGCCGCTGCTGTGGTCGTGGGATTATCGAACTGCAGGGATCCTCCGACCACCGAGGAGGGGTGCTCATAAATGCTGTTGTGCCGGCTGGGTGCGAAGTAGTAGCACGTGGTCTGGCGGTTCTCGGCGGAACTCGAGGCTACTGGCTCACCGCCGGGCAGCTCCTCATTGCTGCTGGAATAGACGATGGACTGCTTGAACTGGTTGGAGTAGCAGTTCTGCTTGAAGCTCTGCTGCTGCTGCTGCTGTTGTACGTACAAGGCCTCGTAGTCGCAGTGGTGAGGATTGCGGTAGATGACTGGCCAGGAGCGCGTGGTCTTGGAGTTGTGGCTATAGCGATGGCTTGAAGTGGCTGCTGGTGCAATGGAACCGGGCTCCTCCACCAGCGGAGTCAGCTCATTGGGAGGCTCCGCCGGCTCGGGCAACTTGCTGTGCTGCTCCTGCTGCTGGGCGGAATGCTCCAGGTCCGGATCGTCCTGCTGGACGGTGGTGGCCAGCTGGCGCTGGAGCACGTTCTTGGCCGCTGCTGTACCACTGCCGCTGGCCAAGCTGAAATCCTCCTCCTCGACCAGAGTGGCCCCGCCTGGCGTGGAGAAAAGGCTGTTAGACGTCGGCGGCGACGGTTGCGAGCGACTGCGGAGCAGGGCAAAGTGCTTGGGCTGGATGGCGCCGGATGTCGGCGACGTGATGCTCACTTCCGGGACGCAGCGGGCCGTCACCTTGTACCGGCTGCCGCTGCCAACGGCGACGCCGACGTTGACCCCGACGCCAACGCCGACGCCGACGTTGCCCTTGGAGCGCATCAGTCATAAGTCGCTCGCGTCCCGCTTCTTGATCTTGTTCAGGCTCATGTGGTTCGTGGTGGTGGCGATGGTGGATTGTTGGATGTTTGCGGTTTCGGATGGATGTTGTATATTATTGCTCTGGTTGCTGATGTTGCAGATGTTGCTGTTGATGCTGTTGATGTTGCTGTTGTGTTCTTAAGTTTTGTTTTTGTGTGCGACGCCTAAGAGTCTACGTTGCAAAATGTTACTTTGCTTGGGTGCCTCGACAAAAAATGTAAATATTACAGAAATGTTATACGCTTTGTTATATTTGTAATCTACTAGCAGCGGTTGTTGTTGTTCTTTTTGCTGTAACTCTGTTCTTGTTTATTGTTGTTGCTTGCGGTTGTTGTTGTTGCTGTTGTTTTTATTGTTGCTGTTGTATTAGTTTTTAACTGTAGTTGTTGCTGTTGCATCGGCAACACTTGTTTAGTTTATTTGCATACCAATTTACATTTATGTTTGTCTTGTTTTGATTTTGACTTTTGATTTTGGATGCTTTTTCTTTTGTTCATTTACTACGTTTTTGCTTAGCTTGCAGCTATAAAAAGAAAGAAAGTAGAAGAAAACAAATGTACAACATGAGTTTGAAGGAGAATCGATAGAGAGTCGAGAACAAAGACGACGGTATAGAAAGGAGTTTTCTACAAAAAGTGCAATAATCACAAACGTTATAAACTAATGTGCAAAAGCAGCTAGGGTGCAATTGATCCACAGGAAAGTAGCCGAATATGATGTTTTATATAAATATTTTGTCTACCTTTTTTTAAAGGGCATTGCTACAGACTTTTTATTAAAATAAAGTTTAAATAATAAATTACCAGCCAATTTAATGTGGAAATTTTCATTTGGAAACCGCATTTGATTAGTGTAAATTACTCTTTTTCCAATGGTAGGCAAACACAAATTGAAATTAAATTTTTATTTTTCGTTCGGATTCAAATATTGCAAATTATTCGCAGTTCTGAAAACTACCAGCGAATTTGCGCCTGATAAGCCTAAATTGCATTTAAAATTCCAATAGACATAACCCCCCTTCCCTCAGCCCCAACGCGGTTAATCTAATCTAACTTCGTAGTTGGGCACTCCTGGTGCCAAATATTCAGCTGAATTTGAATTCTGGCTGCATGAAATGGCCGAAGGATTCAATTGTGCTCGGTGCGACCTGAATCCGGCCGCATAACCGGCGAACGGAAGAACAGAACGGCGGAAAGTACGGCAGTATGGGAGAATGGCTGTTGCATATTACATGAGGATGGCCCAGCGCCCAGCGGATATCCGGTGGCAGGACTGCTGGCCAGCCCCTTGGTACTCCACCCACATTCCGTATCCGCCCTGTGGTCCGCTACCCACATTCCGTATCCGCCCCGTGGCAAATTCAATTTGCTCCTTGTGCCCGACCACTTACCAAAGTGCAGCAGGTGTAATGTTAGATAGGGGTTAGCACCGCCACTCATATGCGGATGTTTATGTGGCCCGAGGACAACCGCATTTTCACCCAGTTTCTCATTTGGCCACATCTGGTCGGGCTTCCCTGGGACTCTTTTGTGGTCAGCGCCTGGGATTGTCCATCTTTGCTTTGTGGCCGACGTGAATTTTAATTTTAATTCAACATTTTCATTTGCTTTGTGCAAGAGAATTAGGACAAATTAGGCCAAGTTTGGTCAGTGGAAATTGCTTTCTGAATTTAATTAAACTATGTTAAACATTGCTGTTAAAGCAATTATTTGCACACATTTGTAGCATTTAAGTGAATTCTGGTTACACACGGATAAGCAATTATAATTCAATGACCATTTAGCATATCATTTTAAATGGATTTTAAAAAAATGTAAAATGTGTGTTTGAGGGAAAGCATTTAAGCATTTCATAAAAAAGGCAATTGATTTTATCTCTTGCTGCAAAAATGATTAACAAATTGATAACATAAAACTAAAGTGATGAATAAATAAAATACATTTTGTTTTCATAATGTAATGCAATAATTTAATATAAGACAATTGACAAAATAAATTTAAATAATATAATAATTGATTTAAGAAACTAATAACGCACCCGTTTCTTAATTATGTGTGTTTTCACCTGTTTGTTCTAAACATTTTGCCTAACAGTTCATGCCACATACTTTTAGAGAGGGCGAAAATCATTTGCAAATCATCCCAGATCACCTTGCCTGATTTTAGTCGCCAGGCACGTGCTTCCGCTGTCATTCCAGCTCACATTTGCTCTAGTTTGTTTAATTTTTAATGCAAACGAAATGAGAGACAGACGACACTGTTGCAACCCCTCGTTAGCATAATTGATCGGCAGGCACACACGTGCCTCCTGATGTCAGTCTGGTCAGTAGGTCAGACCAAAGCGACAGCCGAAGGATCTGGAATTAATTAACACGCATGATGACCCCGGTGAGCAGGAAGCCGAGGAATCAGTTTGGCAGGAGCTGGCACGGGAATAATTTGATTATGCCATGAGTTGGCCACTTGACAGTCAGTTCAGCACTTCCTTTCGCAGTCTTCCGACTGAAAACTGCCCACACGGAGAAAAAGGATTATTTTTAGCTGACTAAACCAAATAAATGTTTGCATACTTGAATGTTCATTATTCGAATGATTGATGAGTTTCTTTTTTCTTTCTAAACAAAAAGTTTTGAATTATCCTGTTTTTATTCACATATTTATGGTAAAGATGGCTTGAATTGAATATATATTCTTACCAAAGCAGTAACACGAGTAAAAGTAATTTGTTTAAGTTAAAAATATTCTGTAAAAACTGATTTAAAAAAAATATATATCTTCACAAAATTTAAATAATTTAGTGCAATCACTAAATTGTTCTGTAACATTTTTTAAAAACATGTTTTTTAATTACTTCTCTCTTTTTTTTTAATAGTTTGAGCTTTCTGTTGCATCCCTTATATAAGGATATTCTACTGGGTTTTTTCTCAGTGCAGGCATTGGGGCCGCACACTTACGCAATACAATTGGCAGCCAGCACGTTCCACACGCACACATTCAACGCTGATGCAACGTCGTGTGTACGTGAGTGCTTTACAAAAGTTGGCGAAAAGTGCAGCGCTGCGACCAAATAAGGATACTTGAAGCGACGAAAGGATGCTGGGATATGTGTGTGTGTGAAGTTCTCCACAAAAGCGGGATATAGTTTCTATAGCCGCTGCAGTTGCGTTTCAAACTGAGGCACTGTTTACACTTCTAACGACTAAAAGACGAGCAAGAAGTCTTCAAGCAGAAGCCCTGGAAAACTTTTGTAAATGTTTGCCCAGTCGAAAGTTTTTCATAAAACGGGTATTGGCTTTAATTTTCGCACACATAGGCAAAGCGCGATTGGCGAAGCCAAGTCACGATAATGATGCAACAAAGACAGTGCTGGGACCTTAGTTTTGGGAAAAAGAATAGAAGGCTCTTCTAAAGTTGCCCATCTTGAAACGTATTCTTAAAAGACGTCTGTATTACAGGTTAACTAAGTTAACAACTTTGAACTTGGCCAGACAACTTTTATGTTTCCAAAGCATTAAAACTTTATACATAAGTTGAACTTTATTACTTAATACCTAATTCACAATGAATTTAATTACCGAAATGGTTTCGTGTGTAAGCTTGTTTTAAATGACAGGTACATACACGGTCATCGGGAATTTTCAATTGTCTAATAAAACAGAAACTTTAAACGATATTTTCCCAGGGAACGACAAACACTGTCACTTTAACTGACCACAAATGTTCTCACCGTATCTGAAACTTTAGTACCACTTTTCCGAGCAACAATTGGTAAGGGAATGGAAATGTCTTTATTTTTTATGCAGGCAATTAAAAGCAGCACTCGATTGTGGGTACACATATAAACGTGTGTGGCAGCTTAAAGTCTGAATTGTTATTGTTGTTGCCCGGGCAACGTTTCGCGGTCGCCTTGGCAATCAACTACTGCGGACTGGGGGTAAAAACAGCAGGAGGAACTCCGGAGAATGGAGTACTTCGCCCAAAAGGGGTCACCATAAATTAGCAGTCCGAGCAGACAGTGGCTCCTGGCCAAATGCCGTTCCTCCTTCGGCATCTCCCTCGTTGTACAAATGACGCAATGCAAATGAAAAATAATGCGCGAACATTTGGCCACAGACGGAGTCGGATCTCGAGTGAAGGAGGACCAAGGATATTGCAAGAGGAGATGCCAATTTGCTCGCAGAGATGTTATTTTTTGAATGATTTTAGTACATTAGTTACCTTTAATAATTTATCTTCGATGAGTTAATGATTTAATTATCAATCAAATATTATTTTTCTTTAAAATTTGATAATCATTTTGATGGTATATCCAAAATAATTTATACATACAGTTGGGATAATATTAATTAGATGGGATACTCTTTTATAAAAACTTTTACAAACATTTTGTTGTTCGACATTTTTAGCAGAGCTTACAAAATTGTCTAAAGCTTATGTTACCTTATGTTATTTATTATCCTGCGTGTAAATTAATAACAAAGGCAGTTTTGCAATAAATTGCAGGCATCTCTAAAAAATCGTTTCCTGCTTTTTCGGGCGTCGAGTGAAAAAGTTTTTGTTTCCTTTGGAGGCGGCTCCTTGCACATTTGCCGGAGAGCAGAATAATCCGAGCTGCTCACGCAGCGGATCCGGATCCGGATACGGCATGGCCCACAGAAGTTTCTTGGCTTCTGGCAACGAGTGAACTGCAGGCAACTTATTTATTTAGTATTTCTGGCCGGGGCTGCTGTTCTCCGTTCCTTCGCCAAAAGTTGCCCCAACTAATTAAAACTAATCTTATGCAATTTCTAGCTAATTATGCACATAAATCACACCACGGGGATCGGAGCATCTGTTTTTCGTGGGCACACAAGGCGAAAAGTGCCGAAAAGGCGTTAAATTGAATAAGAGTGTTGATGGATTTCCCAGAAGAAAAGTTTGTGTGCTTAAAAGATCCCCGCCTCCATCTTATTAATAAACTATTTTCAAGGGGTCTATTGTAGAAAATAGAATTTCAATTAAATTCAAGGGTCAAGTTGTCCCCAGCCATTTAAAATTAAAAACCCCATCACAATTCAATGCACTTAAGGCCGAAAACATTTATATAATAACAGGGACAAACCACCACTTAGATATCCTTATTCCTGGCATTGTCATTAATTAATTCCTTGCCGCACAGAAATATAGTATGGCCAAAACCATTACCAGTTGGTGTGCGTTTGTCGACATTGGTTCGTGTGCGAGGGGCTCAAATGACACAGAAACCCAACTCTTCCGCTAAATTAATGGGCTGTCGGCCCAGAGAAAAACTAGATAAAGGCAGTTAATTTTGTTAAATGCCAACATGCAGCAAAACGCAAATGCGGACACACATGCTCCCTCAATTAATATGAAATTTCATGCATGGCCCCATAAACAGTGTTGGGGATCTGTGAAAGGTCAGCATTTAATTTATTCAAGTGGTTGCCGAGGTTGAAATGTGCGGGAGCATATAAAATCTCTCACTAATTGCAGGCTGCATTATTATTATTGCGATATAAGTATG